AAAGAACATTAGACTCAAACATGCTCCTCCAATTTCTATAATGATATTACTCTAAACTCAGTATACCCAAATAGTAATCTTACTGTAGAAGCTACACTGTCTTACGTTCTGATGGGATATTTATAGTTAAGGGAAACTGAATGTTTAAGAGCAAAGTTAAATTCATCCCTGAAGAAAGGAATTTTGTAGCTATTGGATTATGAATGAGATTTCATTAAGGTAATAGCCCCCAAACCCTAGAGGGTGCTCTCAGTAGGAATTAACATTTCCAAACAAGTAGATGCAATGCACTTGTCCCTCAAGGCCTTTCAGCTTTCAGACCAACTCAGGGGCTGTGATTCCCAAATACGTGTCTTCTCTGAACGGAATCATATAAATCTCTGGTAGCGCCAAGCTAGTCTATGTCTTTCTGTATTTTTATTGGTCTCTAGACTCTTAACCCCTTGATTGGTAGCTTTGCTAATGAAGGAAGCTCACTTTAATAAAACTGTTATGTTTAGATGCTTGTTATTAGAAGCTGTGTGCCAAATGCTATTTTAAAGCCCAATCATTAAGGTTGTTAAGAGGGTTTTGTTGCTCATACTACTTTCTGTAACTCACTCAGAGGATGTTATAGAGCCATATAGGCTATTGTTATTTTAAACATGCCTATCTGTGGTGTGCTGTTGTCCATTAGTGGAACCTGTCAATATGATAAAGTCTTAATAAGCAATTAAATAAATGACATTTGTTCACTGAATAAAAGAGGGTTTGTTGCTGCTGTTCTTCAGTCTGCCTCCCCATATGAATCTCTAGTTGCTTTAAATAGTCTTTACCTTTGTTATTATCAAGAATTTCTACTCTGCTTTCAAAGTTGGGTTATAGTTGGGTCAACTCATATTCCAAAATCTTATTTTAGTATTTTCTATTACAATATGGCCTGTCCTTGTTCTGATATGGAGCTGAGGTATTTAGAGAATGATTATAATTAGGTGTTATTCCTTCTGTATCTTTTGGTCAGCTTTAAAAAATTCTGATGCCTAGATTGCACTTTATACCAATGAAATCAGAATATATGGGGTAGGACCTGTAGGCATCAGTTTTGTTTTGTTTTTAAGATTTTATTGGGGAATTGGGGGAGGAGAACAGCGTTGGGGAATCAGGGAAGGGGAACAGACAAGTTGCTGTCCTTTTGTTCTTCAGTTTAGTTGTGGAGGATGTCGCTTCACTGGCCCATGTTGGTATTATCATTGTGCTCTTCCCAGCTGAGGCAGTCGCTCGCAGGCCATTGGACGGCCACTCACAGCGGCTCACAGCAGCTCACGAAAGCTCACGCCCGCTGCCGGCCAGCCCCACTGCAGTCTACACCGCTGCCCGCGACTCACAGCAGCCCAGCTCCAGGTTGAGCTGTTGTTCACCATCTTAGCTGTAGAGGGTGCAGTGTCACTGGCCCTCATTTGGAATCCAAACCGGGGCCCTGCTGCTCAGAGCTGGCACTCCCAAGCCAACTCCTAACTGGCGCGCCACTCAGAGGCCCCGCATCAGTATTTTTTAAAAGATCCTCAGGTGATTCCAATGTGCAGCAAGGTTTAGAAACCACTAGCTTTACTTAATTAGCCATATATAATAGCTTAGAGGTTCTTCCTTCCAGTATCTATTAATTAGGAGTCCTTATAATAATGCATTTAGTTATTTGAAAAAAAGGTATGATACTACTTCAAAGGGAACATGTGCATCCATATGTTCATTGTAGCATTATTTATAATAGCCAAGATATGGAGGCAACCTGTGTGTCCATCAATAGATGAATGGATAAAGAGTAAGTAGTACATTTATACAATGGAACATTACTCAGCCATAAAAAAGAATGAAATCTTGCCATCTGCAACAACATGGATGGACCTAGAGGGTATTGTGCTGAATGGAGTAAGTCAGAGAAAGACAAACATCATATGATTTCACTTAGATGTGGAATCTAAAGAACAAAATAAAAAAAACAGAAACAAACCCATAGATACAGAGAACATTTTGATGGTTGCCAGATGGGAGGAGGGTTGGGGGATGGATGAATAAGGGGAAGGGATTAAGAAATACAAACTGATAGTTACAAAATAGTCATGGGGCTGAAAAGTATAGCATAAGGAATATAGTCAATAATATTGAAATAACTATGTATGGTGTCAGATGGGTACTAGATTTATCAGGGTAATCACTTCGTAAGTTACATAAATGTCTAATCACCATGGTGTACACCCGAAACTAATACAATACTGTATGTCAACTGTAATTAAAAAAATAAAAAAATATTTTAAAAAATAAAATAATTGGCAAATTAAAAAAGAAAAAAGATGTAATATATGTTATTACTATTGTTATTATTATCACTATTTAGATTGTAAAGAGGCCAGTTTTGTGGTTAAAAAATACAAAATATAAAATTTACCATGTTAACCATTTTTAAGTGTTCATTTCAGTGGCATTAAGTATAGTCGCTTTGTTGTACTACCATCACCATCTCCAGAACTTTTTTCATCTTCTCAAACTGAAACTCTGTATCCATTACACAATAACTCCTTGCCCTGCAGCCCCTGGCAACCACCATTCTACTTTCTGTCTCTATAAATTTGACTACTCTTAGGTACCTCATATACGTGCAATCATACAGTATCTGTCCTTCTATGAAGGACTTATTTCAATTAATGTAGTGTCTTCAAGGTTCATTCATGTTATAGCAGGTGTCAACATTTCATTCCTTTTTAAGGCTAAGTAATATTCCATTGTGTGTATATACCACATTTTGTTTATCCATTCATTTGTTGATTGACACTTGGACTGCTTCTACCTTTTGGCTATTGTGAATAATGCTGCTATGATTATGTATGTGTGAGAAACCAATTTTTAAGTAATAAACGTAATCACTTGAAGTCGGTTTGTTCTCCCTCTATATGGTACTCATCTGGATAAATGACTTGTTCTTACGTTATTTCTTTTTTATTTATTTTATTTATTTATTTTTAAGCTGAGCCATCCTGCCACCTGTTGGCAGCTCAGTGGCTGCTCTGCTCGGGCTGGGAATCGAATCGCTGTTGCTCAGAGCTTAAACTCTTGAGCGAGCTCTTAACCAACTGAGCCACTCATCCGGCCCTAAATGACTTGTTCTTTATGGATAGATGGTAGTGTAGTTTACCAGATGAGCTAGTACCTTCCCCTCATGACTGGTCTATCTTTTATAATATATGGCAAAAATTAGGTACTGTTCCAGATGCTTTCTAGATTTTCTCAAAGGTGATGGTAGAATTATTTTATTGAATCAGCTCTCTTGCCCAGGCTGTGGATCAATCCCCCAGAGGTTGTGTTCTGCAAATATAGTGACAAAAGTCTCAGTGTATCTAGGATGAAATAAAGGATTCATGCTATATAGTTTAGTTTAACTCCAAAATGCCACTATAGAAAAATTATAAACTTCAAAACCAACCTAAAAGGCTTCCTAGTCATGTTGCTTTAGAAGTTCTGAACTAATTATATTGAATCTAGAAGACACATTAAGATCCCTTTATTTCTGCCTGTATTACTTGGATAGGCCATTTAGTCTACTTCTACACATGGTCTTAGCTTTTTGTATTACAGAGTGAGAGCTCACTTTTTTACTTCTTTCCATTCTTGTTTTTTTTTTTTTTTTAAGCTGAGCCATCCTGCCACTGGTTGGCAGCTCAGCGGCTGCTCAGCTCGAGCCGGGACTCGAACAGCTGTTGCTCAGAGCTCAAACTCTTGAGCGAGCTCTTAACCAACTGAGCCACTCGGCCGGCCCACTTCTTTCCATTCCTAATGAGCCACTTTTGTCTCTTGACCTCTGTAAAGGGTATGCTTTATTATTATTATTATTATTATTATTATTATTATTGTTATTATTTTTTTTAGCTGAGCCATCCTGCCACCTGTTGGCAGCTCAGCAGCAGCTCAGCTCGGGCAGGGAATTGAACTGGCGACCCTGTTGCTCAGAGCTCGCACTCTTGAGCGAGCTCTTAACCAACTGAGCCACTAGGCCAACCTGGGGTATGCTTTCTTTTTTCAGACACTTCAGATAGGTGTTTTTACAAAAGATCAGCTATGTTAGTCAATAAGTAGAAATTTTATGAGGGCATTCAACTTGGGAAAAGTAGTGATTCCTTATTTTAACGTTGTATTTCTGAAGGCATTACTTTTTCATATTTCCACAACCCACCCACCTATCCTTATCACATTGAAGAAATGAATTTTTATCTGTATATTCCACTCTGATCCCTTTGACAATTTTTCTTAATTTTGCACTTATAATAAAAGGCAATTGAAATGAAAAGAGGCTTGGCCGTATCACTGAAGGGATAGAAATTTTAAACGTTGTTGGTCTCTTTGGGGTAACAACTGGGCTACACCTGTGTTCTTTTTTTTTTTTTTTAAAGATTTTTATTGGGGAATTGGGGGATGGGAACAGCATTGGGGAATTGGGGGAAGGGGAACAGACAAGTTGCTGTCGTTTTGTTCTTCAGTCTAGTTGTGGAGGACGTTGCTTCACTGGCCCAAGTTGGCACCATCATTGCGCTCTTCCCGGGCAAGGCAGATCTGTCGCCGGCTTCTGGACGGCTGCTCACACTGGCTGCTGGCTACACACGGTAGCCCATGGCAACCCACTGCCGCAGGGGCTGCAGCCTACGCTGTCGCCGGCGACTCACGGCAGCCCAGCTCCAGGTTGAGCTGTTGTTTAGTATCTTAGCTATGGAGGGCAGTGTCACTGGCCCTTATATGTGGGATCCGAACTAGGGCCCTCTGGCGTCCCAAGCCAGCTCTTAATCACCGCGCCACTCGGCCGGCCCTACACCTGTGTTTTTTAGAGATACAGGAATGACCTAACATTGAGAATCTGATGAGATAATGATTTTAGAACCAAATCTACAGGTGAAACATAAGCAACTTGTTCTTCTTGTCCATCGAAGTCTACAGTCTGAGAGGCTAAGAGTGAGTAAACAAACGCTCTTTTTTTCTAGATCTTCATCTGCTGGTGGACGTGGCCTGCAAGCAGGAGCACTTTCCAAAGGAGGAAGAATTAAAAGAGTGAGAAATGGATGACAAATGTGACATTGTGCACTAGCTGTAGCTGGAGGCAGACTAGCCTTGCACATGACACACTGTTGGGATTTTTTCAGTTCTGTTAAGGAAAAAAAAAGTATTTTTGTTTTGTTAATTTGACGATTTTGTTAATTGAAAATTGGGAATTTGGTATTTACTACAGCTGTTTAGTTCAGATTATTTACCTTGACAAACTACTAAATATCTAGCAGCTATTTTTTTTTTTGCTGCCCAGATCCCTTTCAAATGAAAAGTCCTGGCCTTCTGTTACAGTCAAGAAAGCATCTAAAAACTGCTGCATCTATGGTACTGGAGAATAATTTGTGTGTGTTGCTTTGTTATCTTGCCACTTCCAAACTGTAGTCAGCACAACTCCAGTGGGGAGTTCAGTCTATCTGTTTCAAGTCACAGTGTGATCCTTTCAGAGAAGATTGTGTGAGAAATGAAGGCATGTAAGGTCACCGAGATTACAGGTCTAAATGGGTCAGGAATCCCAGGGAAGAAACTCTGGGAAAGAGCTAATTTTCTAAGTGATTAACCAGGAAATGCTCTTACTTCCTAACCCAGCATTCTGTTTCAAGAGCAAGGCATCCGGACTTGGACCATCTATCAACCTTAACAGCTCCTAATTCTTTTATATTAATGGGAGCATTCTTCTATTTTCATATCTTTTTAAAATTTTAATGATACATTATCATAAATGGTCAGGTTTTGTTAATATATCATTTATTTAAATGTCTTCTAAAGAAAAGTATTTAACTTGTTTAATATATTTATAAACACTGGTAGATTTAGAAGTTTTAAAGCTTTATATTTTTATTAATATTGGAGGATAGAAGGATAAAGGATGCATATGTAATATTTTTATTTTAAGGGGGGAAATGTACAATGTGTGAACAAAAACATTAAGAGATTTAACACAGTGTTTTCTTATTTTAGATTTTTACATTCAGTAAATATAAATTCTGATCTATATAAGATATTGTGTGCAAATTTTGGGAGAAACTGATTAGTGGTCATTTAACAGAAGCTATACCTCTGATATTTTTAGTAGTTTATGTCTGGTTTCAGCTTCTGAGAGAATTTTGGATAGTGGGATAGACTGTAATATTTTTATCCTATCCCCTCTATAGGATTCTAAATTCGAGTAGTAGGATTGTGGGACTGGATTTTAGGAGAGGTATGTTGGTTGTCCAGTTTCCGTGGTTGACCCCTCTCTTGCTCACCCAACAACAGCAAGAAACGTCCTGATTTAAAAGTCTTTTAAATTGACTAGAACTTTCTTATTGGATTCTGCTTCAGTTTTCCTAATAAGCACTGCAGAAGCCAAAGGAAAGCCTAGGAATATGAAACTAATTAAAAAGAAAAGGCACTTAGTGGGTGTAACAATTCATTTCGTAAATTGCATTGTGCCTTCCCAATGATGTCAAACCCTAGAAATATTACACAGATAATAGATTTTTTGGAAAAGGATGAGCTCTATTGGTCTGCAGTGACTTGGTTTAGATGTAAAAGTGGGTTCTGAAAAATGACCTGTTTGGCCCATCTGATTAGATTAGTTGGTGTCCATGTGATGGGCATTTATTCATCTTTATTCTCAAGGTTTAAAAGATAAACAGATTATCAAGACTCCTACATCTTTTGGCCAGACTATGTATTTTGGCAGAGTATGTGAAGAGGAGACCCAATTTCCAAATGAAGGATCTTTGTCTTTTCTCTGTCATGTTGAAAAGCTGATACACTGTGTAGGTGACATTTCTTCCCTTAAATATGCCTTTCTTAGCTTTGTATATGTTGAAAGAGATAATACCTTTTGAGGAACATGTGTCAAGCAGGAACCTTGGCCTGAATTTGGGTTCAGTGGTTTTAAGGCTTAATTAATGAAATACCTATATCAGCTTTCCAAACTTTTTAAATATATGAATACAAAAGACCAAGGAGCTGGATCTCCTACTATACTCACATGTCTGCTACCTGTCAACTAAAGCTGTCTTCACTGATTTGGATAAAATAGAAAAAGATAAAATAAAATCTGTGTGTGAATTAGCCAGTAGGGTCTGACACATAGTAACAAGGTTCCTGACTAGCACCTCAGTATCTCAGCACCTTAAGCATGATAAATTTCAATCAGTCAACAATAAAGTGCTTCAACTAGACTGTTGTTCTGCTTGTTTTTACTTTTCGATTGGTGATCATTAGAAACCTCAGTCATTATGACTATTTATCATAATAGTAAACATCAAAAGAGAAGATACTCTGTTTTTCAAAGAATCTGGCTTTTTAAGAAAATGTGTCCTGGCTTTTTTTTATTTTTATTTGCACTTGAATAGAGATTGAATCTTTAAAATTCCATTAAGGATAAGGACAATTCTTGGACATATTTACAGAAACCTAGGTTTTTGGAAAAGGATGAATGGTCTTCAGTAACTTTAGTCTATCCAGATGTGAAAGTAGATCCTGAAGGATGACCTGTCTCCTGTGCAATATTAGGTAGTAGATGTCAGTGAGATGGGCATTTCATTACCATAGTGATGGCATCTCTAGGACATCTCTGTGGACGTTGTGGTATATCAACCCCTGAGGGGTAACTCCAAGACATTAAAGCCAGAGACTAATTTCTCTTCCTTGTCAATTCTGGTGACCTAAACAAACACAGTGTATCAGTGAATTCAACTACAAAGAGCTGTTTGGTTTGATCCTGAGTATGTCAGGGCACTCAGTTTCATAATACATATCATCATTCCCAGAGCTCAGAGATTCCTCAAGAAAGGGCAAGCCCATTTGTATTTTTTTTCTGCTTTCAAGTAAATGTGTGTATTAACTCTTAGATGTGGGTCTCTTAATTCCTTTGCAAGTTTCAAGCAGGAATAGGTGAGGCAAAGTCCATTAGCAGCTTACTTTAAAGATATTTTTGCATATATTATCTAGAATAATGTATATTTTGCATTATTTATGCTGTATTATTACATGGAATGCATAAAATAAAAACAAAATTGTAGCAGATTTTAAAAAAAATTCTCTCCAGAAGAATTAGATCTATTCCTTTTCTTTAGGAAAGGAGTTATAAAAGGTCTATACTTGCATTATGTCCTTAATGTTCAACCAATAAAGAAAAAGTGCTAAATTCAGAATTTACTGTAGAATTTCTCTCTCTTCTCTAGGGTACTTAGTAAATCTCCTAACTATCCCCATAAACCTTCTTTAGGGGGAAAAAATGCGCAAGGTGAATAGACCACTCATACTTTTTGCTTTTAGAGGCATTTTTATGTCATTTAATCGTTACAACAAACCTACAATGCAATTATTATTATCCACATTTTACAGATGATCAATTTGTATAATTTATTTGTACAATTTAAGAAAACTTTTTAAAAGATTTATGTTATGTGCTTCTTACCACAATTGAGAGAAGCACATAACATAAATCTTAACCATTTTTAAGTGTACAGTTCAGTAGTGTTCACCACATTCATATAATTGTACACTTGTACAATTTGGAAAGATTATTGGCAGCAGGTCAAAAATAAAATGTCTGACCACAGTTAAATATAATCTGATAAATTTGAAAATTCAAATTTTAGAAACATATATTAGAAACTTTTGCGTGTTTCTAATGACAAGGTTACTGGAAGGATTGTAGTTCATGAATGTGGTAATTAGCCAAAATTAGGGGGGTTTGTGCCTACGTTCTTCTCATTAAGCATATATACTTTACCCCTTTGCTTGTATTTATGACATAGACTTACATGCAATCTTATATTGAGGGTATAGGTCTGATCCATAGTATCAGTTCACCTCCCCAAGGATGTGAGAAGAAAGTAACAGATTCCAGGCCTCTGACATCAACCTGATCTAAAAACTCCATACAGGTACAGTTTAGAAAACAGCTACCAAATTTAAGTTAGTAAGAGCTGAAGAAAAACTATACATAAAATGGACAGAGTTCTCACCAGGATAGTAGATATAAGACAACAATAAATCAATAAGTACTATATAGCACAGGATCACTTTATTCGGGCTTTGTGCCAATTTTAGACACTAAAACCCGGAAAGAGCAGAAATCTTTTTGAACATATATTTGCAAAACCCTGTGTCCATTCTTTTATCTTCTGGGTTTCCTTCTTTTCTCGCTCTGCCTCTCTTTATTTCCTTACACCACCATCTATACTCTCTCGGGTGCAGAATCGGCTTAGATATGTTTGAGTGGCCCTGATTTACATGCGGTAGCTTGCTTACCTGGAGAAGGCATTGAGGATTGAATTGGATGCAGTTTGACTGTGGCTCCATAGAGGGAGTAGAGGAGCTGAGAGAAGAGAGCAAAAGAACGTGTCTGGTTAAGTGTGCCGCCGGAGCCCGGTGCCTTAGCCAGCGGAGGAGGAGGGGCAGGATGGGGGGTGTTGCCTCTAGCTGCTCCACCCTCACTTTGTGTCAGCAGGTAGAGAGCGTGATTGCAGTCTCAGGGGAGGGAGTTCGAGCTAGAACACCAATTACAAACCACAGGCTTCCTTCTCTAGGGAGTTGATCCAGAATTGTCTTTCTGGAAGGGAAGCACTCGAATCCTTCCGAACTTTCCAAGTCCATCCATGATTCAGAGATATTGCCTTCTCCCTCTGGGATTTTCTGTGTTCCTGGTAGTGAATTGTTACTTTGCTTCTTTTCTCTTTGAAGATTTGATCATTTTATATGCTGTTTGGGGAGAAAAAGAACTTTTGTTAGAAAGGAGATTTCAGAAATGATTTTGGATCCTCTATCAGTGTTTTTAGAGTTCTTGGGGACAGTAGCTCTAACCCTGGAGTAAGTTTCTGCCTTTGACCTGCATGGATTATTTTTTCAGGCTGCGGAATTTCTCGGTGCCTACCTGCAGTGCGGGGCACTTGGTTTGGTTGCAGAGTAAGAAGGTGGAAGAATGAGCTGTACTTGGTTAAACAGTTGAAATCTTTTTTGAGCAGGATCTATAAAAGCATAATTGAATTGGTTTCACCCCCGTGGATTCCAGTGGGCCCGTCAGCACAACAGGTTTGCAGATTTTCTTTTGAAATTCTTTTTATTCTCCCTCTGCCTCAGCAAAAGAAAAGAATCTGTGTAACAGGTTCATGTTCAATTGCTTGGCTTTTCAGCACTTATTCTGAAGACTTTATAAGATTTTTTAAATTTGACCTCTGAACACAGTGGGCTTTTGCGGTTGAAGTGCATTTATATTTACTTAAGGGTGCACATTTTAAAATCTTAGAATGAGATTTTGTTTATACAAAGACCCAAATTCTCAAGTGTGCCTAGAAATAGCACAGATCTACCCTATTCCAGCTTTTTACTTTTTCAGGGTATTCTACTTAGAGCCTGAAGAGCCTACTCCCCCCCATCTTTTATACCCCACCCCCTCGAGGAATTTGAAAACGTGTTAGGAATAGTCCTTTGTTTTCCTTATGAATCTAAAAAATTGCAGATTATAAGCTCAGGATCATAGTTTCCAAAAGCATCTCATGGGAAATCAAAGTGCTTGACATTCTCAAGCAGGAGAATAAAAGCTGGAATCCCTAAGAGAGAAAGAAAAATAAAGACAGAAATACGATTTTTAACTGGGAAAAAATTGGAAAGCTAACCTTTTCAAGTATTCTTCGAATTGGAATGGGTTGAGATGCTTAGGATTATCCTGTAATATGTGAAGAGGTATAAATTACAACCTAATTTAGCGGCAAGTTTAAGTAGAACATTTAAAAATTATAGTATATTTAGGTTCATGAAAAGTATTATAAATTTAGTGGGCCTTGAACTTTGGCTACCTTGAAATACAGTTTAATGTGGAAACTTTTATGAATACATGTTATAGCATCTTTGGACATCTCTCAAGATGTGGCCTGAAATGTTTCCTCTCCTTCCCCGTGAAGACAAAATTCTCTGTGATTTTTAGTCTTTTACCATTGACAAATTATGCTTAAAAAGGACAATTTCTTCATTTTCTGAGCTGGAGTTTTTCACTCTCACCTTCGATGCATGGCCTTAGTTATTTACTTTGCCTTGTTTTATTCATTAACATTGGGTTTAGTGGCTCGACAATTGGATGCATATGGAAGACCAGCACCAAGTGATCTGATATAACAAAAATTCAGGATGTGACATTCAACCTCAAGCGAAGTTGGAAATTCCAGAGAAAAGTGGTGGTATCTTTACTAATATTAGTGAAGATGGGAGAAAATGACCTACCTGTAGCCGAAGTGGGCTAAACACACCCTTTTCCTTGCCAGATCAGGAATGCCACCTGTTCTTGGGAATATGAGAAAGGAAGGGCCAAAACTATGACTTTGCTTTCTGAAACTGAAGTATAAATTCTCTCTTCCTTCGTTTGTCTGAATCTGAGAACCTGCGTTTGGTGTTAGCCCGTGGAAGCAGTATGTATGGCCGAAGTGCACTGCTGCAGCTGGTAGCATGAGTGGTGGCCACCAGCTGCAGCTGGCTGCCCTCTGGCCCTGGCTGCTGATGGCTACCCTGCAGGCAGGCTTTGGACGCACTGGACTGGTACTGGCAGCTGCGGTGGAGTCTGAAAGATCAGCAGAGCAGAAAGCTATTATCAGAGTGATCCCCTTGAAAATGGACCCTACAGGAAAACTGAACCTCACTTTGGAAGGTGTGTTTGCTGGTGTTGCTGAAGTCACTCCAGCAGAAGGAAAGTTAATGCAGGTAAGGCTAACTTTATTGTATTTCACTTTCCATCTGTTTGAAATATGCCTTCTTTTGTCTCCCAAACCAAATACCATACAAGGGCTTCTGCTCCTGAGCTTTCTGTTTGTTCCATCTTTTAAGGACATTTGCCTCATTGGCGTTCTAAAGCAAATTCTTATTTTATACTCGAGAACAAACATAGATCCTACAGGATAGAAGATCATCTGCTTATTTTTAACTCTGGTATTACATTGCCTTTGTAGATAGATACACGTAATAAGAACTTTCTTTGCAAGTGGTATATTCTGGACATGACATTTTGATAGATGAAATATATGAACTTGTATTTAATTTACCTGAGGGCTGTATTTTATATCTTGTTTAAATTTGAACTGAGCACTAAGGAGGTAGATTTTAATGGTCAGCAGCACTCTGAAATTCTAGAATGCCCTTGGAGCATATTTGATCACTGTGTCACTTTTAAAATTCAGTCAAGCTTGAATGCTACCGCTGGCTTCATACCACGTGTGGCACCCTATTGCTAAGCCCAAAATGGAGAGGACTGGATTACAAAATGGACACAAGGTGTAAACTTGCCTCCTGATCACTTTAGTCTTGTCTACACATAATTTTATTATTTTCAAAAATCTCAAATTTAACATCTGTTTTTTTTATTGACCCACAGAGTTTTTCAGGCACAGTTTCTCAGGCTTTCAGGCTGTGAATTTTGCCTATAACTCATTCATAGCCTCCTCATTATGTGTTGCATTTATGAACTGATTAGGGCCACAGCGTTTCATAGATGAATTGCTCACTCCCCATGGTGAAGATAGAGCCTAGAGGGCTGTACCTTTTTAATGTGGCATTCCAGTGTCTTATCCCATGAAATTATGTTGCTTATTGATTACATTTTATTTTATGAAAGTACACTTCTTGCTGTAGCTCTTAGACACAGGTTGAAATGTTGTTAAATATGATTTCTCTCAGCTACTAAGCTCAGGTTTTTATTTTGTGATACGAACAGAACCAGAGTATTACATGAATTTAAAGTTTGGGTTAATTTGAGAAAGAAGGTAGAAAATTTAACAAATTCTAGAACTCTCTTTTTCAAACATGGATTTTTACATATATGACATAGTGGCTCTTCATGATCACTTCTTAGGCCATATTTTGAAGCTGCGATAAACGAAGTGGAAGAGGAATTGGGTGAAATGGAAGGCTCCGCTGTTTAGAAAAATAAATAGGCAAAAAGAATGTATCTCAAAAAAAATGGCATAAGAATGTTTGGATAAGTGTCTACTCGTTTAATTTGAACTCTAGTATGGAATTAGGAATATTTAAAAGTTGAAACATAAATAATTTTGAATACAACAACTGGAAAGGAAACTTCCTCCCTGACCTTGCCTACTTAGTACCCTAAAACATGAGGTATGTGCTCCATTTTAATTTTTTACCATAAGTTATTTTACTACAGGACCATATTTTGATATCTCTGAGGTCTTTGGGGGCAATACTAAGCTTTGTGCCTATTGATGTCCTGTGGCCGCATGTTCAATGATTAATTATATACTGCATGAAGTAGTGTCCTCTTTTATTTAAAATTTTGGTCTTCTGTTATCGCAAGCTCTATGTAAAATTTCTGTATATTTGTAAACAAAAAAGTATATAAGAGGCACTAGCTGGCATTCTCTTTGCCATTCATTACTTTGTCAATCTGTTCTGTCTTCTTTTATTCTGTCCCTTTTTCCTGGTAATTTTGCTAATTTTTTTTTTTTTACTTAACATCGAGTGTATTAGCATACTTTAAGTATTGTTTATTTTATGAAAGGAGGATTTCATTGTATCTATTATTTAGCAAGACCTTTCAGGCTTGACAGTAGTGTGTATTATTGGTAATTTTCAGTATTTCTACACCTTTTTTGTCCAAGAAAGCTTCTTCTAGGTCATTAATAAATTTGTAAACTAGCCTAGTATTAATCTCTGGAGACTTTCAGCATTGTTCCTGGTTTATTGTCTATTCATCATATTTTAATCCACAATAGTTACCAAATTTTCTTGATAGTCTCTTATGAGAAAATTATTTTTAAAAACACAAAAACAACATTTTGAATGATATGCAGCAGTTCTTTTTTACCCACTATTTGATTAACTCTTTCAAAGAACTCTAGTGTGTTGGGAACCATGGTTTACACTTCTAGAATCCATGCCATTCATTCCTTATCAGATTATACTGCAACTCAGGTTTACTCAACTGTCCTTAACCAGGCCTTCTATTTAACTGGAGTTCTGTTTATCTCTCCTAGAGTTGTGCTTTGCTGCACTTTAGCTTTCTTGGTAGATAGCTGTACCCTGATATAACAAATCTACAGGGGTCTTATCTGCTGGTTTTGAGGAATTTTGGATAATTCTATGTATCCTTCTACCTATGAATTATCCTAGCTGCCTGTTAAGTTTGATTGTCTCTGAAGATACAAGCAGGTCTTTGTAAAATTGGGGATGCTATACATTGGGAAAGGGAAAGGTATGAAGACAGTGATTTAAAAAAACCTTGCTGTGGTTTCTGGAATTCCCAGGCAATTTCAGAAAATTTGACATTTAGCTCAATTAATTCAGGGTATGTACAATTTCATAAGGACCAAGTGAACTGGATTTTCACTTGTATTACAATTTCAATTTTTCTTAAACAAAGAGAGGCATCCCTTGACAATGTGCCCCCAATTTGTTTAATAATAAAGTGGACCATACAGTTGTCTCTAAAATAATTTTGCTTGTCTGAACTTCATCTGAAGGGATGGATATGTGAGGACATTGAAGGTCAGGCCTTGGTGAATTTTTGTCCTGATTCTCACACCTCACTTTTTGTGCTTAGGTTTCTTTTTACCAACAGTAACATCCATTTTACAAGATATGTTCAAAGTTTTAAATTGTAATATTCTTTTGAGAGTACTAGAAGAAAGTCAAAATAGAAGAGGAAATGTTGCCTTTGATGTATTCCCTTCATTTCTCAAGTCTTCTGTTTTCCATTTCACAATTCCCCATCCTAGCCCTGACCAAATGATACTGTTTTCCTTTCTTTTTTTGCCCAAGAGCTGCTTCTTTGCATTCATATCATTTCACATCCTTGTGCGTGTTTCCCATTGTCTTTAAAGCGTCTGCTTGTTAGGTTTCCCCTGCATCTGCCACAATCTTTGTCTCTTTTGATTTCCTTTTACATTTTTTTGTCTTGTTTTCCGCTTAATTTTTATATTTAGAATAACTTCTACTGCTCTTCTGATCAGTATTTCCCTAGATAGCCATCAAAAGTCTATGTCAAAACAATATTTGTAAGTATGTGTAGTAATAGATGTTAACTAAACTTATTGTGGTAATTATTTCACAATATATACATGTATCAAATGATGTACATAAAACTAATACAATGTTATAAGTCAATTATATCTCAATTTTAAAAAAAGAGAAAAAGCGGGAGACCAAAAAAAAGGAAACTTTCTAGATTTCCTAATTACTTGGTGGTGACTGATAAAGAGGACTAAATAATAATGATTCTAACTTTTTACTATTTTTATTTTTAATTTGAATATATATATTTTTTCTCCTGATTTATACCATTGTAGATGGAAAATGTGCTGGACCTTATTTATGCATTGTGTACTTGTCCAGTTTTCTAGTTTTGTTTGCCTCTTATCAATGTTTGTTTATATTATTTCCAGTAACATTGTTGCTACCACTTCCAAAAATGATTACAGTCCTATTTTCTTTCTCAATTCTTGTTCCTTATTCATAAATATGATTGCTTAGAGGGACTACTCAAAATGAATCTTCTTTCTTCTCAAAGCAAAAGAGCAAGAGGATGTTAATGTAGCGCGAGAGATGTCGCCAATTCTTCAACTGTCACACTCTTCCTGCTCAGCTGGTTGTCCTGGATTTTCTTAGACTCTGGGATAAAGTTATGATCAAGATTAGAATGTACTGCCCTGGGGCTTCAGAGCTACACTGGGAGCTATGGTAGTTTAGGTTTTGGCCAGCAGCTGGGAACAGCTCCGGGACAAATTCTCCCTCATGCGATGTCTCTGCTTGCCTCTTAATTTACCTATTAGTCAACACCTACTTATCCCATCTTTGCACTTTTACTTTATTTTTAGTCAGGCCCTGAAATGAATTATTTGGTGTGGGGGCTGGAGAGAAAACTTGTATTATAAAGTTTTGACCAAAGCCAGAGAGAGAATGCTATGTAGCAAAACTGTAATTGACAAAGTGACTAAACTGTGACTCAAGGGACTGACTGACTTTTAGTTCTGACTCTGTCACTAAGTAATTGGGTGATTTGAGATAAAATGGTTTTTACCTTTTTAGGTTTTACATTCCCTATCAGTAAAATTGAGGGACCGAAATGCAATAGCACATAGCAAACATCTGCTGTGCACTTGACATGTGTTAGTTCATTGAATCTTCATAATAGCGTCATGAGAGAAGTACAGTACTTTTATTTTTCACATTTTACAGATAAGGAAACCGAGGCTCAAAGTGTTAGTATCTGCCAACGTCATGGCCGTAGGTAGGAGGTAACATAGCTGAAACTTGAACCCTAGAGCCCATGCCTTTCCAGCTCTAAAATTTGGTGCATCTAAGAATGCCACAGATAAACAGAACACCAATGTAGGCTTTGTATAAATGATCAATTGTGATGAGTATTATTCGCTGAGATTGATCCAGAATGTACGCTATCCTGCTAACTTCTAATAACCTCTGTATTTTTTTCTATTTCCCTCATTTGTGTTTCATTTGCAAAGATTTTTGTAAAGCAGAATGTTTACTTACTCAGCATCCCCCTTTTAATGTAACAACTTTCACTATCTTTCTCTTCATGTTATAACAGCCTATAGTAAATTATCTAATATGGGAACCTGACATAATAAACTTTGAAACAGCATGCATTTAACTGTCATTCCTCAAGTTAGAGTTCCTTTGGAAGCAGAGATTTCAAAGATTTTGTGATTTTGCTTTGAGGCCAGCCTTTA